TTGCCCATTTTAAAACAAGAGTAAATACTCATTTCATTCTCTCATGTTTTTCAACCTTACTAATTTGGTCCCTCAAAAATTGAAAAATCTGAAATGGTCCTCAAAATTTTTAATTGTGAGTCAAATTAGTCTCTATATCATATGTTATAAAACATGCTAAAATGACTAATTTGGCTCACATTCAAAAAATTTGGGGACCATTTTGAGTTTTTCAAAAATTTGAGGATCCAAAGTGATAAGTTCAAAAAACATGGGGCTGAAATGAGTATTTACTGTTAAAATAATGTTTCATAGCGTACTTTTCTTGTTTTATTGTGTCTCTCCTTTTCAAACGTTCAATCTGCATGTCGTAGAAAAACAATGACCAAATATCTCAAATATTTCATGTCTCATATCCCAAGTCAATTACATTTCACCAAATAATATAAAAAAAATTACTTTTTATTTTTATGATTTTTCTTTTTAACTATGTAACACATTTCCATTCGATTGGAACATAAATAGGACACATAAATATAGAACAAGTGCAATGGATTTTTCACTTGAATAGTTTTGGAGAAATAATGTTATCTTCTCTTTTAGATTCATATCTTCACATTTCTTTCTCTTCTTCTCTTTCTCATACTCTTTAAGAATCATGAATAGTTTTGATCTTACTTCAACTGAATTTTTTCAACACCAAGTTATTAGTTATTTTACCTTTGTTTGGGGACAAACAAAGTTGTAAGTTGGGAGGAGTTGATAAGTGCCAAAAATGTAGTATTTTTTATCACTTTTTATGACACTTATCTTGATTAATCATGTTTAAAATCCAACTTTTAACGCACTTTTTAGATACATTTTTCGTGTTTTGATAATATGAATTTTGATCACCTCTTGTCTAAGTTGTCTCTGAATTTTGTAGGAAAATATATCAAAAAGAATTACTTCAAAGATAGCCAAAATGAGAAGCCGAATCACAAGCCAAAAGCATAAAAAGAATTGATCAAAACAAATAAGCTAAGCATGACATGGTATGTGCTTTTGCTAAAAAAATTGCTTCAGCTTGAAAAAGATAGCTTACCTTGCCTTGAAGAAATCATGCTAAAAGTGTCAAACAACCAACCAAGCTTAATTCAGGAAGCATGGGAAAAAAGGTTGCTTCAGCTAGAAGAAATGTAGGTTACCTTCTCTTGAAGGAACTTGGTGGGCAGCTAGGCTGGACTAGGTGAGTGCTTAGCACCTGGCCAACCAGCAAACTTCACCATCAAGAAATCCTAGGCCAAGACAAAGCAAGTAGGTATGCCTTAACTTGAAGACCAAGCACATAACCTCATGCATGATACAAGCAATGACAAGCCAAGTAGGAAGTGTCACTTTGCATGGAGCCTAGCCCACAAAACCGCTATAAGCAAGTGGAGGAGGCAGATGAGCGCCCCACACTTTTCTCTATAAAAGGACACCTTGTCTCTACACCAAAAAAATACCATTCATACATATTGTACATTCCATTTTAGATATCATTTTTCTTAGGTTTTTTTTAGAATTTTCTTTTATAGAAATTCAGAGGAAATGGAGTTGACAAGTGATGTGTAAAAACTTAATTTTGTAACATCATTTAGAACCAAACATTCAATCTTTGGATGGCTAATGCTCCTAAATAGTTTGGAATATGGTGTAATTTATTTTACTCTTTTTGTATCTTCTACTGCATTTATACAAGTTATTACTTTGGCTATATTGATTCTTTAAGAAGTTCTTATTGCGGTTTTAGCTTGATCGCCTAAAACTTGATTTCAAGATCCAAAATGCTTCTTCTTGAAGTGTTGACAAGTGAACTAAAAAGTAGAATATACATCTTAGTTCATTTGTCACAATAGTATATATTTAAAGCAACTTGTATTCAAGATTATTCAATGTTAATTATTAATTAGTGTATTATATAAGGTTTGAAAATTATTTTTTTAGGTTGAGACGCTGAGGGAAAGTTAAAAACCTAGTGTGTGGTTTAACCATGATATAATACATAACTTGCATAAATTATCATGTTGATATTTGTGAATAAATCACTTCATCATTCTAATCATATTCTCCTCTTGAATTTGTAAATATGTAGTTTCTTTACTTTTTCATGTTTAATACTTTATAAAATCACAAAAACAACTTTATTGTCAAAACTCGTTCTCTTTCTGGACTGTGTTCTCTTTGTTTCCCTCTTCATTATCTCCACATGGCAAATGTAAGTCATATTTTCTTTCTTTTATTTTAGTTTTAATGTAAAACTCGTTCACATTTGTGTTTCATTTTTTTCTGAATTTAATGGCACATATAGGTAAACATGTATGTTGTTTGACCTAAATCACTCTTTTTATTCAAAAATGAAATGGTTGGAGTAAGCAAAATAATTTGAATGTTTTTTTTTCCAGTGCATAAACTAAGCATTTGTTTAAACAAGGCTTTATTTTTTTAAGCAAGTCTAATTTATAAAAATAAAAAGAAAGACATGTAGCATATGATGTGGATTGAATGTAATTTTTGTTTAATTGAGTTTTATTTAAATTGAAGGTAATGTCGAATAGAGAGCCTATGACACAAGATCATCAACCAATTATAAATGGTGATATTGATGGATTAGAGAAAAATAAAATTATTGAGATACACAATAGACTTATAAATGAAATTATACCACGGCTTGGGTTGGAATTTGAAACTGAAGATGCGACTTATGATTTTTATAACTCTTATGATTATAGAGTTGGTTTTAGCATGAGGAAAAGTAAAGCACACAACAATGTTGATGGTCACATAATTGATAGAGTGTTTTGTTGTTCATGTGAATGTTATCGTGAGAAGGATAAACGAAGAACTAGTGTGAATAATCTTTGTGCCCAATCACAGTTTGAATGTTTGCCAAGAATGAAAGTAGATTGTCGTTCAACAGAAATGTTTCGTATTGTTCAATTTATTGCTAAACATAAGCATGAGACTTTTAGCATTATCAAGACTCATCTTCATAGATCTCATAGGAAAATAACACCCTCTCTAGCATCTGAGATTGACTTAGCTGAAAGTTCTAGTATTGCTCCAAAAGTAAGTTGTGAATTAATGGAAAGAAGAGTTGGAGGACGTGAAAACTTGGGATTCATTCATGACAACTATAAAAATTATTTACGCTCAAAGCGAACAATTCAAATGAGATTAGGATATATAGGTGGTTTGCTTGAGTATTTACAACAAATGAAAGTAGAAGATCCTAATTTTTTCTACGCCATACAAGTTGATGAGGATGATTTAATAACCAATATATTTTGGAGAGATGCAAAAATGATGGTTGATTATTCATATTTTGGTGATGTTGTTTGTTTTGATACCACATATAGAAAAAATAAAGAATGTCGTCCATTTGCCATGTTTATTGGAGTAGATCATCATAAACTTAGCACTATCTTTGGTGCTGCAAAAACATTTGTTTGGTTGTTCAAATCTTTATCTACAGCAATGTCACGAAAAAAGCCACAAACTATACTCACTAACCAAGATGCAGCAAGGGCGAAGGCTCTAAGCTTGACATGGCCAAAGACATCTCACCACCTATGTATTTGGCACTTGTACCTGAATGCTTTGAAGAATCTTAGTGTTGTATTTGGAGAGTTTCAAGACTTTCAACAAGAACTTCAGCAAGTGCATATATGAGTATGAAGAAGAATACGAGTTTATTAAAGCTTGAGATGATTTGCTAGACAACTATGGTCTTCATGGTAATAGATGGATGAATCAAACATTTTCTTTGAATGAAAAATGGGCTCTAGTTTATGGGTGACAAAATATTTGTGTTGATATGATGACCACACAACGTAATGAGAGCATGAACAATGTAATAAAGAAATATGTGAGTTATAAGCATGACATGTTAAGATTTTTTCACCACTTTGATAGGTTGGTTGATGATCGTCAATATCAACAGTTAAAGACATATTTTAAAGCAACTCAAAGAAATGTGTCTTTGTCATTTGATGTTGAGATTGTAAGACATGCAGCAACAATTTACACTCATGCAGTTTTTAAGATGTTTCAGTCGGAAATATCACTATCATATGATTGTAGTGTAATAACTTCCTTTGATATTGATAATGTTAGTGAATATATAAAATTATGCTTTATAAGAAACATTTTCAACATACTGTCAAATATGACTCAACTAAAGGTGTTGTTACTTGTAGTTGTAAGAAGTTTGAGTTTGCAAGAATGTTGTGCTCTCATGCTCTCAAAGTTCTTTCAATAAGAAATATAATGAGGATTTTTATGATTTATGTGCTAAATAGAGGGACAAAACAATAAAAAATTGGAAGTGATAGAGGGACATGTCTTAGTCCTACTCATGATGATGAAAAGGCGAGATTGAGAAATTGCTACAAGGATTTATGTGGGCGATACACAGAATTAACAACAAAAGGTGCAACAAATGAAGAAACGTATAAAATTGCTGTCAATGCATGGAATAAGGCTATGGAAGCTATAGATGCATGCATTGGAGGTGGAGAGATGAACCTTCTATACAAAACTTAGTTTTTGGATTGCCTCCATTTCAATGGTGTGAGGTATTTTTTATATTTTAAACTTATCTTCTAGATTCAATGTTTGTTTTAATATATATATATATATATATATATATATATATGATGATAACTTTATAAATGAAATTTGTGACAGTTTCTGTAAGGACCCCAAATTCTATCATTGAAATTTTTTTCTTATTTTAATCTACTTTCATACACTTTTATATAAATTTACATTTACCAATAAAATAACCTTACTTTAACAATCCCACTTTCCCTTCATATTCAATCCCTAAACCATTAACATCATGCATATTCGTTGACAGAAAAACATAATTCATATTAATACCGCTCGGTAACTGCCGCATACAACTAGCTATGGGTTTCAAAAACACTCATAGCTACAAATATCCAGCATTACACCCAAAAAATGTAGTGAGTCAAATAGTTATGAATACAATCATCCAAATAACAATTTAAATCACAAAAGGCAAAATAAAGGATCCAAGTCCTAAGCTCCTAAGACCTCGAACCAAGCATCCTCAACTATCTTGTTTACCTGCAATAGGATTATCAATGGCAAATGCACACAACATACAAAGGAGTAAGTCATTAAGATAATGAATACCATTATAAGATAATCCACATTTTAAAGGGGTTAGTAATCCATTTCGGAATTCATTTTCTTTGCTGCATAACTTGAGCCAAAGTCGCCACACCCTTAAGGTTAGCTAAAAGCAAATTCTTATTTCTTTTAAAAAGAAAACATGCTACATATACTCGAGCTGGAGTTTTGCTTCTTATACTCGAGCCGGAGTTTTGCTTCATATACTCGAGCCGGAGTATTGCTTCATATACTCGAGCCGGAGTATTGCTTCATATACTCGAGCCGGAGTATTGCTTCATATACTCGAGCCGAAGTTTTGCTTCTTATACTCGAGCCGAAGTTTTTCTTCTTAAACTCGAGCCGGAGTCGCTAACCATTCATGGTCGGCTAAAAATATAGTTTCTTTTCATTGATTTCACCATAAATCATTTCCCGTGAATCCCCCCCCCCCATCATTAGCATAAACACACCCATATATGTTTACACTAAATATGTGATTCACGACTTAATCATTGCACAACCAGAAAATACACACATTTTCTATTTTCAAATGCACAAGTAAAGACTTATCCTTACCTCGGTGAGTGTTGGGTTTGGTTCTTGGTGTCTCCAGATTCTGAAAGCAAAGACCACTACAGCCAATTCTAAATCATGCGTAGGGTAGTTTTGCTCATGCGTTCTAACTGACGAGAAGCATAGGCAACAACCTTCCCTTCTTGCATCAGAACACAACCCAAACCTTGCTTGGAAGCATCACAATAAACACTGAAATCCCTATCATTACAAGGAAGAACCAACACTGGCGCAATAGTCAACCTTCGTTTCAACTCTTGAAAACTTTCTTCACAACGGATTGTCCACACATAAGGTTCCCCTTTCCTAGTGAGCTTAGTCAAAGGTAGTGCTAACTTCAAAAATCCCTCAATGAATTTTCGATAATAACCAGCCAAACCCAGAAAACTTCGGATCTCAGTAACTGACTTGGGCACTGCCCATTCCATAACCGCTTCAACCTTTGAAGGATCTACAGCTACCCCTTCCTTGGATATTACATGTCCAAGAAACTTTACCGATTCCAACCAGAAATCACATTTAGACAATTTAGCATACAACCGGTTCTTACTCAAAAGCTCTAAAACAATCCTTAGGTGCTCTGCATGTTCCTCTCGGCTTTAGAGTAAACCATAATGTCATCAATAAATACCACTACGAATGAATCCAAATACTGATTAAAAATTCGATTCATGTAGTCGGTAAATATTGTTGGGACATTCGTTACGCCAAAAGGCATGACCAAATACTCAAAATGTCCATACCTCGTCCTAAAAGTAGTTTTAGGAATGTCTTCCGACTTCACACGAAGTTGGTGGTAACCCGACCGAAGATCAATCTTTGAAAACACTACCGCCCCTCTCAACTGATCCATCTAGTCATCAATCCGAGGCAACAGATACTTGTTCTTAATAGTAACCTTGTTCATCTGCCTGTAGTCGGTACACAACCGCATACTAACATCTTTCTTTTTAACCAACAAAACAGGCACACCCCACGGCGAGACACTAGGACAAATAAACTTCTTTGCCAACAAGTCCTCAACCTGCTTTTTCAACTTCGCCAACTCTAACGGTGTCATCCTATAAGGAGCTATAGAGATGAGTCCCGTTCCAGGTACCAAATCAGTAGAGAATTGAACTTCTCTCACTGGAGGTAACTCCATAATGGCACAAGGAAATACCTCAGGGAACTCACGAACTATCGGAATGTCCTCAACCTTGAGTTTCTCAATACCCTACAGGGAGGCCAACAACATAAACACGACTCCTCCCTCCTTATAGGAAGTCCTGACTTCCTTTGCCGACAACGGCTTCATATAACCAACCTCATCAGAAATCCCATATGGATTTCCGAATACCACGGTCTTATCAATACAACTAAGCACCACATGATTCACTGACAACCAGTCTATTCCCAGAATTATATCTAAGTGGGATAATGGTAAGCAGATTAAATCCAGGTTTAATGTCCTACTATTTACCACTACCGGTCATCGAGACACAACTGTCGATACCACCACAAGTACATCAGTTAGGGTGGATATGACCAAGTCGAAAGGCAACGACTCAGTTTGAAATTTTAGTCTATCCACGCATTCAATAGATACAAAGGAGTGTGTCGCTACGGAATCAAACAACACTTAAAGAGGAATATCTGCCACCATGCAATTACCTTTTATCAGGCCATCTACACCCGATGCCTCTGCACCACTCATGGTGAACACTCTGCCAGTGGATCGAGGTCGCTCGGCCCGCACAACATTCATACTCTGCTGTAACTTAGCACAATATCTTCTGACATGCCCAACCTCCTTGTAGTGGAAGCAGGTAAGTGTCGTTCCAGGGCATGAGTCACCAACGTGAGTCCGGCCACATTTGCTGCACAAAGATGGAGTGTTCAACCGTGACCCTCCGGCATTGACATGAGTCTTCGGCCCATGTGAAGTTTAACCCCGACTACTCGTTGGAGGAGAGTAAGGCTTCCATTCTTCTTGAAACACTTTGCCCTTCCCTTTTCCGTGTGAGAAGTTTCGTTGAGGGCCATAATGCCGTGGAGGGTTCCCTTTACAAGTAGCAGCGTCCCTCACCCGCACATTATCCTCATCCATCCTACACTTGTTCAATAGGGTAGGAAAATCAGAAATTTCTTTGTGACCAAACGTCACCCTAAGCTCGGGTTTCAACCTCATCTCAAACTTTACACATTTGGACCTCCCGTCCAACTCTAGTTCAGAATATGGGCAATACCGGATCAATTCCTCAAACTTGGCCGCGTACTCCCCCACCGACATGTTTCCTTGCTCTAATTGCAAGAATTTCATCTCCTTCTTCCTTTTCAGGTCTGCAGGGAAATATTTTTGGAGGAATTTCCTCATGAAGGCTCCCCACGTGATGATTTGCCTTTCGGTCTCCATCTGCCTCTGGGCCATTTCCCACCAGTTCTCAGCCTCCTTCACTAGCATGTAGGTGGCGTATGCCACTTTATGAGCATCAGAACAACTCATGGCTCTGAAGATCCTTTCCAATCCTTGGACCCATTCAATGGCGGTACTAGGAGCCAATCCACCTTGGAACTGACTGAGCTCCTCCTGCAGAATTCATCCAGACCTTGGTACTCAGCCGGCCCAGGTGGAACTAGGGGTTGGGAACTCGGGCTTGGTGTCGCGTTCTGGTTCAGATGCTGCAAGTTCTCTTTCATGTTCATCAGCACAGCCACAATCTGGGCCAACGAGTCATTCTGACCCGATCCTCTTCCTCTTCCTCTTCCTCTTCCAGACATCTCTGTAATGGGTACATGTACTCATTCGCTCATCAGTAAACAACTTTAATCAAATAAATCATCACATAACCACACAACAGTTCATCCAAATCACATAGTTAAATCAAATAAAGGTTACAAAGAAGCATGTAAGGTCATACCCTAGGCTGCAGAATTAACTATGCTCTGATACCATATTGTAAGGACCCCAAATTCTACCCTTGAAATTTTTTCCTTATTTTAATCTACTTTCAAACACTTTTATATAAATTTACATTTACCAATAATATAACCTTACTTTAACAATCCCATTTTCCCTTCATATTCAATCCCTAAACCATTAACAGCATGCATATTCGTTGACAAAAAAACATAATTCGTATTAATACCGCTCGGTAACTACCACATACAACTAGCTATGGGTTTCCAAAACACTCATAGCTACAAATATCCAGCATTACACCCCAAAAATGTAGTGAGTCAAATAGTTATGAATACAATCATCCAAGTAACAATTTACATCACAAAAAGCAAAATAAATGATCCAAGTCCTAAGCTCCTAAGACCTCGAACCAAGCATCCTCAACTATCATGTTTACCTGCAATGGGATTATCAATGGCAAATGCACACAACATACAAAGGAGTAAGTCATCAAGATAATAAATACCATTATAAGATAATCCATATTTTAAAGGGGTTAGTAATCCATTTCAAAATTCATTTTTTTTGCTGCATAACTTGAGCCGAAGTCGCTACACCCTTAAGGTTAGCTAAAAGCAGATTCTTACAACATACAAGCGAGGATCCTCTCGCTCAGGCGAGAATCTTACAACCTCGACAGGTCCAAAATGTCACTTTTCTCGCCCAGGCGAGCCAACTCTCGCTCGGGCGAGACCACTCTCGCTCAAGCGAGACCACTCTCACTCAAGCGAGCTCACTCTCGCTCAGGCGAGAATCCTCCAGTATAGCCCAGTATTTCACCCTCCCAGGTGAGCCTTTCTCGCCTAGGTGAGAATCCCTCGCTCAAGGGAGAATTCCAGGACTGATACTATAATTTTACGGAGTGAAATTTAGGGTGTTATGGTTTCCCATCTATATTGCACATAATAATACTTATAAGGAGTCAAGTAGTAATATAAGCATGACAAAACTATTGCAGGTAATATGATTATACTAGTTTTTTTTTTCATTTATTTGGAGTCTATATGCATTATTTTTTTAAATATTGATATAGAGAATATTTTTATTTATAGGCAAAATTATCTGGTGTAGTTTGACAAGACAATCGTCAAGGCATGAATCAACAAGGCACTCATCAAGGTCGACAAGACACTCATCCATGACACGACTTGTCAATGCAATGCAACACTCCTTGACATTATAATGTTATGGTTGTAGGGTGAAATTTAACTTTTATGTTATATGAATGAATTTTGATAGAAGTATAAAGACTTTGTTTTGGTTAGTATAAGATGGTTTGTAGGGGTGGATGTAACGTGTAGACTCTCTTTTTTCTTTTTCAAATGTTATTTGTATGTGTTTTTAATTAGGGGATTTCAATTTTCAAACATATATTGATAAGTAAAGTATGCATCTACCAAGCTCATGCAATTAGTACTTTTCTGTGATCTATGACAACCATAGTTCACATATAAGTATGAAGATATGACAAATATTATGCTATGGAATAAAATCCAAAAATCGATAAATATCATAGTAGCCATTTACATACTTAAATTGATAATCATAATACATTTTTTAAGATCTACTCTCCTATTTTTAGTTCAATTGACCAGACAAAAATCACAGCAACAATTTACAGCACCAAGTAAACAACTTCAGTTTACAACCAAAATGAAACAACTTCAACAACTAATAAAACACTCTTATTCAAAGCCCCTCAGCAGCAATTGAATGCAGGAACCACACTGCATTTATGACATGATTTAGAAGCATAAGATAATATTTAACCACAACAACAAAGAGTACATGCAACAAGGGACAAAACATAATTTAGAGAATACATAATAGCAAGAAGGGCACCTGAAAATTTATTAAAAACAAATAGTGAAAAGTCACATACATGTGAGTGCAAGAGGATATATGTTTCATTACTTGTAAATCTTGCACCATACATAGAATCAAAGTTTCCAAAAACAATAATCAATAAATATATTAAAATCCATTATTCAAGTTAGTTTTAATAATCAAGTTGTGACTGTTGTGGCCAAGCATTTGCCTTATTTTTGGGCAAGTTGTATGCCCTTCTTCCATCCGCCTGGAAATAGAACTCAAGTCATATATTTGACCTGTGGAAATTATCATTGGGCCACATATGAAATCCAATGATATAGGCCAACAAAAGTCTTTTGGAACAGTTAAAAATGTTTCAACAATTTCCTTAATTTAAGTAGATGCTTAGTTTAAAGAAATGCAACAATATTTCATCTTTCTCAAATATCAACCACATCAGATGATACATGTCTTTCTTTTTATTTTTAATAATAATTTTTGCTTCAAAAAATAAAGTCAAGTTTAAACAGAAGCTTAGTTTATGCAATGAAAAAAAAACATTCAAATTATTTTGCTTACTCCAACCATTTCATTTTTCAATCTGTCTCCCATGCTCACTCAAAAAAATACATGCTTAGTTTATATCAAACAAGGATTTTCTATATGAAGGATTTTCCTAGGCTTTCAAAATGTGAAAAGTGGTGTGATAATTGAAGATTCAAAACCTAAGTTATGAATAAAAAGAGTGATTCAGGTCAAACAACATACATGTTTACCTCTACGTGCCACTAAATTGAAAAAAATGAAACACAAATGTGAACAAGTTTTACATCAAAACTAAAATAAAAGAAAGAAAATATGACTTACATCTGCCAATCTGCCATGTGGAGATAATGAACAGGAGAGCAAAGAGAACACGGTCCAAAAGGAGAAGAAGTTCGTTTTTTCGTTATATCTTCTTTGAAACTGTTATTGTCAGAGAAATAGAAATTGGAAAGAGAAAGAAATGGAAGAAGAAAAAGAAGAAATGTTTACATTGATTCTGTGAGAAAGAAATGTTTGGCTTTGTGTAAGAGGAAAGGTACTCCAAGAGAAAGAGATGAACATTAAGGGAAATGAAATGAAAAGTCACATGAAATAAAATGAGAAATATTTTTTTTAGTGGAAAGTGATGTGAATTTTTAAATGAAATGGCAATATCTAATTGGTTAGGACAAGGTTGGACACACCATTTTGGGAAAGGTAATCCCCTTGGATTGAGCTTTATTATTTGTCTAATCTTGACTTTTTCCACCTAAACTTATTATTTGAATATATCTATTGTGTGTATAATTAAATGATATATTATTTTCAATGAACACGATGAATAGAATTGTCATACTATTGAGAATTAAATCGATAGTTTTTTCTTATTTTTTGTATCGCCTTAATTTAATTATAGTATGTTAAAACTTCAACTTGTCAGTTTTGGGGTGAGGTACTTTGTTTTCACTTTCATGCACCTATTTTTGTAACATTTGAAGGTATGACTTTTTTTGGATGATAGTTGAATCCAAATTCATAATGTCGAGTTGGAAGGCCTAATTTTCAACTTATGAATTGAATTATAATGTGAATCATAACACTCAAGATCATAATTTTACATAGTAAAATTAAATCATAAAATTCGTCTCTTTGAAATAATGTATGTAAGAATGAATAGACTACTTATGAAATGTATGACTTCCCGATTTTCGGTCTGCACGAATTTATTAAAATATTCGCTACATTTTAATATAAAAAATATAATAAAAACATTTTAGTCCAATTACATTAGGCTTTGGATTTTTAATATTCAGGTTCGGGAGTCGGTTACATAGTAGAAAATGTAATATTAAAAAGGGACAAAAAATTATTTATTTATTTTTGTTGTGCGTGACAAAATGAAATTTTGCTCAACCGTATCCTGATAAGCAATAGAGAATCAAGACTATGTAGTTCTTTATATCAAAAATGTTTTTAGTTAAGTTATTTTTTGTATTGTTTAGAAAATGTGATGTTTAATTTTAACTATTTTTCCCTATTAAAATAAGTGAAGCACAACTCTCATGTTCGAATCGCATCTCAAATCAATGAATAAAAACTTAGTGAAAATTTATCATCTTTATACTTAATTTTTTTATTAAAATTATTAGAAAAAAGTTGGGTTAATTACTCATCAATTCTAAAAAAGTGAAGTGCAACCTCATATCCAAATCATATCTTATCTTAAAATTATGGTAAGTGTGATTTTTAATTATTACAAAATATGAGTTGAATTTTTTTTTAATTGCTCAATAATTTTAACAAAGTGAAATGCAGTACTGATGTCCAATACTGAATTATATATTAAAATTATGGCACATCTTTATCATCAAACTGAACTTTATTTAGTAAATTATCATTATTAAATCAAAATAAGTATAAAAAAAAACAAAGCCACACAATAGTCAAATTGTTCCTATTTATTAACCGTAAGAATTGTTCCTATTTATTATTTTACTGTTCTACTATAATTACCTGTTAGGTATAAGTTTCATTAATAAACTTACAATGACTATTGTTTTTCTACTTGATTATTGTTCTGGTTAAGTGCAAGGCATTTAATAATAGAATGAATAAAATAAAGAGAACTAAAGATATGTGATGTCGATTCTCAGTGAGGGGTTTGCTTACTTGAGCGATCGTTCTTGCTTGGAACTTAATAGGATTTGCGGAACGTGATATGTATGCCAAATCCATGTTTTGGTGTATGTTTGGATGTGTTTGGCCGAATGCGTTTGGGATTATATGTGTCTTGGCCATAGTTTGTTGAAGGTGCCACAAGCTAGGTTGCTTGATAAGCCTAGGATATTCGCCACATCGAAGGATCCTTGATAAGAACTATGGAGAAGATGACACACCAATTGGTGATAAGTCTATGAACACCACAATAATGAATCATGATAAGTTTTAGGGTAAGGAGCCTTGACTCAACTCAAAGGAATTCAGATTCCAAATTTTTAATTATACTTTATTCATGAATCAAATCAAATACATATAGACTTGTGGTTGGCCAAAAAGGGCTCCACGAAATTAGCATAATAAAAACAAAGAATAAACTAATCTAATCATGTAACTAAGTTTAGGTTCAATAAATTTTCATGGCTAAGCACATAAGGCTTGCACGACTAGGATATGTTGACTTGTATTCATGCACCCATAGGCCATATAGCTTGGGCCATCATGCACACAATTGCAACCTTGAGGATCCACACGGTTATGCAATTCAAATGGCTTGCAAAATTATCTCCTTAAAGCAAGGAATGATTTGATCCACGCCAACTACGGGTGGTAAGAGTTTGAGTCCAATTTAAACTCTTCCTCAAGCTTCCACACGACTCAAACTTAGGCATTTCACAAGGCACTTGATCAAGTCTTGCATGATTGTAGGATCGAATGATAAGATCACATTGTTGGCACACGACTCCATTCACTTGAGATAAGTCACACGACCAACTAGAATGGTTTTGACTAGTTTGATGCCTCAAATCTCTCTTTCTTCCTTAGCATGACTTTGTCATCAAATCAATATCCTATCTACATCAAACCACACGTCTCTTCCAATTCAAATCAGCAAGGTTATCTCCTTGATTGCACAACCATATCCACGCCCCTCTAAACAAGAAGCCAAGTTCAACTTGACTTGTCTCATAAGAGACACACCTAGCATAGAAGGAAGTCAAGTCCAACTTGACTAGCCTTGGTGATCTCCACGGCTAGCACATGGATGAATCCCTTTCATTTGCACAATTTTAGGCCACAACTTCATCCACACAAACCACACAGTTTTATGCATGCACTCCAAGATTTGGACAAATCTTGGCCTTAAAAATCTCCCTTGTCTTGCAATTTGGGCCACACGGATTAAGACCCCATGGTTGATCCAACTTGACTCATTCCATGCTCCCTGGTCCTCTTGGCACGCCTAGGTCTCCATCCTTAGCCACTAATGTGCCAATTTGCAAGACTTAGAAAATTAATTCTATTTACAAGAATAATCCCCAACCCAAATTACATGAATTTTGCAAAGATAATTAATTGTTTAAATTGAAATCCTAAGTTACTCATGGAAAAATAATTCCCATTTATTACAAAATAAAACAACTATAATTAAATACACTTAAATAAAATGTGACAATTTTCAAGAATCGTGATCAACTTGTTGGTCCTCCTATAAAATCGTAAGGTATAAAGACGCAATATGAGGTTCATACCTAGTGATTCCGAGAAGAGAGACAATATTGTGTGAGTCACCTAGGAAGCAAGGGAATAAAGACACAGGGTGAAGCTCACACGTCTCATCCCTGTGCAACTCTCGTCAAGGATTCTTAGTATTTTCTAGTGTGTTTTTTTGTGGTGTTTGTGTGTTGTGTGTTTCTTGTGTTTCTTTTTCTGATTTGTTTTTGGAATTTTTGTGAAATGGAGGTTAGGGTTTCTAAACATCCCCTTTATATAAAACAACCTACACTACCCTCACTAAAATTAAGCTAAACAAATATTTTAACGATAAACATGGTAACCTTATTTTCAGATTCTAATCTACTCATAAAATTGTTTGAACCTCTTTTCTATTTGATTTTTTTTCGATTTTTTTTTAGAAACCATTTATTTTGAAGAATTTTTTTTTGGACTTTTCCTAGGTAGGATAAAAATAATTTACCATATTTTTAAATTACTTTTTAAATGTTGATTTAATGCATCATGCATTGGTAACCCTTGGGTATTGAAAAAGATTGACCATACCTTGGTTTTTGGTTTGAGGACCGGAGAAGCCCCAATTTGAAGACCTTTATCGCTGTTGAACCCATAAATTTGGCCCTTGATAGCATGGTTCTTAATACTTGCAACATTAGTGTTAAGATCAGACCAGAATGGCCACATGGGCATGTCCAGTTTTAGAAGTCGAAAATTATTGCTGAGGAAATCACTTCACACCTTTTCCACAAAGGTGATGATACAATGAGAATAAAAAATCAAACTGAGTGGGGAAGAGGTAACATTGTTGGTGATTTTCAAACCATCACCCCATAGAAAAAAAAAATATTCATACTTTGACTTAACAGAAAAATAAATCTCTAAATTTCATAATCAGGAATTAAATCAAATCATAAATTATAATTGGAAGATCATGAATTTCTTAAAGTGATTGCAGAAGCACAAAATCCTCAAAAAAAAAATTGAACATTAGGGTTCATACAAATTTAGGGGGAAAACACATTTAATAATCATAAAAATCAGAATTTTTGCTTTTATATCACTTGTTAGAATTTCCTTATGATTGGTGAATAATCAATCCTCTAAATATATTAATTGTCTAATTCTTTTGGTATGCCTTAAAGAGAGATTTGGTATATTTATATTCCTCAACCAAATCCTGAATTCCTCAAAGAGACAAATGTTTTCTCTTTCATGAGGATAAGGGAAAACTAGTTGTGGTTTGGTGCATTATGATCATAACTTTTCTTGAGGCGTTTATATATAGGGTTCCCATTATTCCTTATAGGCCAACCATTTGAGTATCAACTTGTTTTGTAACCCTAAAATAAATAGCTAATATAATTGTATTAAATATATGATGTCTGCATTAGTTAGAAATTATAAATTTCTAATAGAAATTGTTTTGGTAGAGAGGTAGAGAAGAAAGCTTGAGGAAATACATATCAACTAATGTGATTTTTCTAAATGGGAAACACCTCCATTTATAGGTGGAGAACCCAACGACTAGTTTGATCCGACGACCCAAAAAATGGTCTCATCTAAAATGGCTAGATTGATCTTATGGCCTAGAAGAAAACAATGATCACATTGACCGGGTGTATGCTTGTCTCTTCGACACTAACGGTCTGTGTTCACTTGATGTGATATAGAGTGGTTTTTAAATCATATTTGAGAATTGACACTTATAGCTATATTTTAGAAAATTCGAGAATTGACATTCTTAGCCATATTCGTGGGTGACTTGGGATGGATTTTCATAGTACAGTAAGAAACAAAGAATTGAGTTATTTTATCCAAAGAC